TGGTTTATACAGCACTTCCTGTCTTGTTGACTTAAGGCTTTACCTTAAGTTTCAAGTGTGAATCAGCCTTAAGTTCCTCTCTGCCTTTCCTCCTGGTGTTTTTCTCTTTTTTCCTCATGCATTTTGATGTACCGTATGGCACTTTGTTTTCAAGGAGCAAAAAAAGGTGTGGTACTAACATTGCAAATCCGCTAAAGTTATTTCCATGAAAAATTGATTTTTATTTATCCGCAAAATTAAAGTGCTCTACGGTATATTGTTCATGCACATTTTGATCTAAATTTATTGTTCTCCATGTTGTCTCTCTCCCATCTACCATCTTCCTCTTCATTATTATTTCTTTGTTATGCATATACTTCCATACAGGGTTTCCCACAAAGCATTCTAAGTGAGCTAAACAGCATGAGCTTCATGAGCTGACAAGCACTACAATACAGTACATGGCTTTTGAGTATTTTTTTTTAATTGTAAAAATTTTACTTTTGATCGGAATCCTTTCAAAATTTCTACACAACATAAGTATATATATATATATATATAAGAAAAACGTATAAAAATGGAGAATTGTGAAATTTGGCCAAGAAAATTTTATCAGTGAATTTGATTCATTTTTAAGCAACTTTAAAAATTCATTAAAAATCCAAATTTGATTAGGATGAGTTCAAACTTTATACTCAACATAAGAATGTGTATATGTATCGGAAAAATTATTAAAATGGAGAATTCTCTACTTTTCATTTTTGGCAAAATTTGGCTGAACACTATAGTACTGTGTAGCATACCAAAATTAATTTGGAACAACTTTACAAATTTGCTGACAAGAAGCACTGTGGGAAACCCTGTACATTACACTTATCAGTCTCCAATCTTCATGTTGTCTGACTCTCATTACCTTATCTCCATTATAATGATGTCTTGTTCAACCTCTCTCCCCCTATCATCCTTTAGGTTAATAGTGTTGATGGATCATATTGTTCACAATGTGGGCAGCTCAACATGCAGCATTGTGTAAAGTACTCACTACATGTCATCAAGTATCTCTGTAACAAGAGTGTACTCTTTAAATCAATGGACCACTGACATACAGATAGACACTGTATGCATATACTGACTGTAACAAAATGCACTAATTCTTCAATGTCAGCTGTTCTATTTAACATTTTGTGTATTGTGAGATTATTACTAATATTATTATTTAATAAAAAGTGAATGTGTTAACTATTACAACTAGATATTTCGGATGATGAGTAGCTTGTACATTAGTACTCACCACAGTACATGAGAAACTAATTTGAGCCTGCGAGTGCAAAAAGTGTCCCAAGATAAGTTTAGTTAATGCAATAACACAATGTTATTGCATTTAAAAAAACTAATCTAATGTTTATAGTGAATCTATAAGGTATGATAAGGCCATAGATACTGACACCATGTACTAAAATAAGCAAACGAGTTTACTTAGTAACAGTCTGTCTATTTTTAAGCAGGAGGTTAATATGTAAATTCCCCAGGCTATATAACCTCCTGGGCCACCTTTGACTACCCGGGAATTTACTTATTAACCTCCAAGTGGTAAACAAGTGAACCTAAAATTAAGCAATCTCATTGGTCAACAACTAGGAATGGTATAATAGAATAAACACAACTACTACTACTGATCTAACAATACATGTCACTCATTACCATACACTACTTTATAAACAATACCTTCTAATGTGCATATAGGTTTAGCTAAGTCTCATTTCACACTGCATGAGTAATTGTGCTAGTCAGTACAGACAGTAGTTATGTCTCTCCTGTTAGTGGTTGTTCTCTTATTCTTCAGTAGCTCCTGCAGTGTCTCCTCTGGTCAGTATTATGTGTCTGATGACTGCAGTTCAGTTACTCAGTCACCTTGTAATCCTTTATCAGTGTATGCTGGGAATATGTCTCAATACAATAACACCATCTTCTACTTCATTGGAACTAGTGTCATCAACTTTACTGTCACAATGGACTCAGTACAGAATATAACTCTACATGGACTGGACCAGTCTCCTACTATTCACTGCTCATCCGGGTTTATAGCAATCACTACCAGCAGTCATGTCAGTTTCAGCAACTTATCATTTCAGCAATGTGGCATACAATTTATATATTCAAGTAAAATTACGATTACTGGTTCTATTTTTAAATACCCAAGCTACTGGTATTCAATTTTCATCAATGTTTTTGACAGTAAGATAATATCTTCAGTTTTTGATAATGTAAATCTAACTATTGTATATTTTCCACCTCCAGTGTGTTACAATGAATTACACCATTACTCATTAACACTGACTAATGTTACTGTGACTAATGACTTCTTAAGGTTTGGTATAGATCATGGTACCTCATATAATCTATCAGTTATCCTTGATAATGTCAATATCATCAGTTCACCAACTGAGTATATTTTCACTGAATCTCTTTCTTCTTGGTATATTACCAATTCATCAGTATCTTATTCAGACAATGGATTTTTATCTTACTTTTTTGCATTATCCCACCAATCAAGAAATTGTAATATCAAAGGCATAATTAAGTCACAATCGACTGTTGTAATTGAAGGCTCCCAATTTCACAACAATGGTAATGGATTATATTTTAATATAGATGGAGATTGGTTTCAAATGGGTAATCATATTGATATTACTGTTAAGTCATGTTCAATACATGGCAATATATTTGGTATAGCCATTAACGGAGGTATATCAACATCAGCTCATATCAGTGTTATAGATACTGAACTTATTGGAAACATGGGAAATGAGATAGCAGGGTGTCTTTCTATCATTCTTAATAACATTACTGTTACAAATAGTCTATCAACAGGACTGGTGATTAAATCCTCTGTAGTAACTGTAGAAAATAGATTAGTATTTAAGAATAATACTGGAGTAGTTGGAGGAGGAATGGCAATAAATAGGTCATCTGTTGTGGCCCTATTACCATCAGCTAACTTGGAGTTTATTGATAATCATGCAACTTATAAAGGAGGAGGAATTTATATTGATGAGCAACTATCGGTTATGATTCCATTGTTACCCGTGCCCCTTATATTAAAAAATAATACTGCTGGAGTAGCTGGAAATGATATATATGGGAAAATTGAGGAATTCAATAAAGTATATATTTCAACAAATCCATCAACATCAAGTGATCCAAGAGCATTCACTTTTTGTGATCCTGGCAGTAATGAAATCACACCAATATGGTATGATGATGAGCAACAAGGTGTTTTTCCAGGTCAACCATTAAAATATAATGTTGCTTTATTTGGACGCAGTTCTAAATTTTACTCGTATAGTCTTACTGATGGCAAAATAACAATAAAAATTAATGGAATAATAGTGATAGACAAATATATTAATAATTGCACAATGATTGAGTACACACCAAAATATATCAACCATTATGGAAGACTTAACATTGCACTCATTGTCACTACTAATACATTATACAGAACTAAATTGGGCATTTCATTTATTCTTAATGAGTGTCCTATTGGTTTCAGTGTAAACAGTTCAGGTGTTTGTGATTGCAGTGTTTCAAGAGAGAATGTCACATGTGATATAAATACCCTAGACATTACACACAATGGTCTACTCTGGATTGGAACATATCATACCAGTACACCTTTCAATGTTAATGAAACCAATCCTAATGCATGCATTATCAATGAGGACTGTCTCCTCTATTGTTCTCCTAATCCTCTTACCTTTCAGTTCAATCACACTGATACTCAATGTGTGGATAATAGAGGACACAGGATGTGTGGATCATGTACAGAGGGACACAGTCTACTAATGGGATCAAACAAGTGTGAACATTGTCATAATAATTACATGATGATAGCTTGGATTGCTCTGTTTGCAGTGATGGGTGTACTACTAGTAGTTCTACTCATTGCTCTCAATTTAACAGTATCAGTGGGTACACTCAATGGTCTATTGTTCTATGCTAACATTGTCAAGTTATACGAGCCAGTCTTTTCAAGGAAAGGAGCATTACCAGTCTTGAATCAAGTGATATCATGGATTAACTTAGACTTTGGGTTTGAGATATGTTTTTACAATGGTATGGACAGTTATGCTAAACAATGGCTCCAGTTTGCTTTCCCTCTCTACCTGTGGATCATTATCATTATCATTATACAATTGTGTAGGAGATATGGTAAGATATCAAGGCTGATGGGGTCTCATGCTGTTCCTGTTCTATCTACACTCTTCCTTCTCTCATATACTAAACTAGTACGTACTATTGTTATTGTACTACACAAGCGTGAGGTAACTCTTCACTGTACAAATGAGTCAGTAAGATCAGTTAGTTTATGGTATGAGGATCCTAATG